ACCACGCCCACCCATCCCTTTATTGGCTGGATGTTTATCACACACGAAAAGGGGAAATTACATGTCACATTCCTGCTTTCTCCATCAATAGCATTATTGACCCTTTGCACCGACGTCACCTAATCACGAGGGTCCACCATGGTGGACGGCAAAAGCATGTAAACAGTGAGCGACACGAGTACTAAACAAAGGTAAAAGTAGAGGCTGAAACTGTTTTTGCGATGAAAACAAAAACAAAACTCCTCCAGCATTCCTTCAACTAGTTCATGCCCAGTTCAGTTATCAGAAGAAGTAGCGCATCTAGCGGGGGCTCATAGAGAGCGGTATGCTAACTGGCTTACCAACGTTAGCTTACGTTCTCTCTGCAGCTGTTCACCGATGTAAACATGTTGCTGACTTTGCCTAAATTCACCCCTCTGGATTTATAACTTTATGTTGTAAACAGCGTTTCTCTTTACACTAAAGCTGATTTTTTAAAAGTCCGGATCCCTACCAGCTTCTGTTGCTGGTGGTGTTACCGCGTTCAGCTGCTGCTCTCACACCGGAATTAGAAGATCTCTGAACGCCGACTTTCATATAAACAAATAACGTAATTTTAACACACGTAATCATACATCGGAGCTTTAATACTGTTAATAATCGTCTCGCTTTACACTACAGTGGACGGAGCGCAGCCTCCGTGGTGAAATGCCCATCCATCAGGATTATCAATAACTAGTATAAACACATCACATTTATCCCTGTCCCCGTCTTCCTCGTGAAATAAATCAACGTTAATCTTACCTGGTAAAAACATGTTCGCTGCTAATCTGAGGGCTGCTAGTCCGCTTGATTGATCGCTTCAATTCAAATTTAAAGATACTTTATTAATCCCAGAGGGAAATTAGAGAATTCAGTTAATCTCCGTCCTCAGTCTCCATCAAAGTTATTAAAAAAAACAAAACGAGTTGAGTTTACATCCTTGTCTATTAGTGCAGCCATCTAAAACCATTTTACTGTCAAATCAATTAAATAAAAGCGATAAAAGGCTACAAACTGGCTTGTTTCAACTAGCTTCACTGGAGTTTCTATGGGTGTAAACAGTCTTTTTGCCATCCATCATGGTGATGGGGGCGGTCACATGAGTGGCGTGATGTCACGTGCAAAGGGTCAATAGTTAAAGTTCCACCTCTCATCCAAACGATTTGAATCCAGAAATCACGTAAGTTGTGTTGTACAGACGTGTTGGTACCTTTTGGTCAATGGAAGAAAACCCTCATTGGTCACAGAAAAAACTTGAGTCTGACAAAAGTAATAATAAATCAAAATTCTATGAAATTTTATCAGTGAAAGTCAGACATTGCTTTTCAACCATGCTTCAACTGAATTATTCAAAAAATAAGCTCATGGAACAGGCCTGGACAAAAATGATGGTTCCCCTAGAGAAGACTCAAAATAATGTGACCTTCATCCTAGGTGTGTCCTCTAAAGGTGGCTTTCCAGGAGCACTACTCAGAGCAACTCGGCCCGACCACTGTTCCCAAGGGCACAGTTCAGTATTTGTGATTCTGGCTGCTGATTGGCTAGGGGCGGAGTCACTGGTTGCTCTGGGGTTTTTTGCCAGCTGTTTCACTGCCTGCAGCCATTTCCTGCTTCAGTCTGACAAAAAGCCATAAAACTGAGTGCAGCAACACCAACTTTTTTCAGCTGAGCTGGTTTCTGTGGAGCACACAGGTTACCTTACACTGTTTACTGATCCCCATGCTATTTTGTCACAAGTAAAAATCACAGACCCACCTCCCCCCGCACCTGTGAGGGCCACACCCACTTTCTGTCATGGAGCTGGCTTGGCAGCAAAACTGCACTCAGATGGGCCGACTCCAGCCACACTGTACAGAGCTGCTTTAGGCTGAGTAGTGTTCCTGGAAAAAAAGACTTAATTAGCATCACAGGTGTCTACAATCCTATAATCAGTAAATGGGTCTCAGGAGATTAGGAGATTAGCCTATAGATTAACCCTCTCAGGCTCAAGATAAGTTTTGATAAAAGGACAAACAACTAAGTCCTTCAGGGGTACTTCTGAGTTAAAAATGCTCATGAAATACGTACGTGGAGTAACCAGGTAGGCAGGTTTTAACCATCGACATATAAATATTGGACAATGGGTTTCCATAGGCTCCAATAACACGTTTTTGAAGATAAATGGGAGGTGGCCACCACCGCCATTTTGACCGTGTCACAGGTTCCGTCAAGCCCAGACAATTCCACAAAAGGGAAGAGAGGTGGAGCTGAGGGTGGGGCTGTAAGGCTGGGATCAACTGATGACACCCAGTCGAACTAGCTACAAGCTAACCTGAAGCTAACCCAAAGCTAACGCGGAGGTGGGAGCTAAGCTAACGGAGGTAGCAACCTAGCTACAACCTGAGTTAACTGTACACAACACCAGAGCTTCTGAGTCAGAGATAAGCCGGGCTGACCGCTGGGTAAAACCGGGTGGAACACAGAGGTCTCCGAGACCTCCACAAGCCGGCAGCCCACGCAGCAGACAAGCGCCGCGATCAGACAGAGATGTTCCGAGCTGCGGGGAGGGGAGAACGGGTGGAAAACATCGGTCTCCCGAGAGCTCCACAAGCCAATAGTCGGAACCCAGCTCCACCAACAAGTTATATTTCAACCCATTTTCTAAAGTGCAGCATTATGTTAAATGCACTGGGTTTTACCCTATTACATTTAAATTTCATGGTTAAACAGTACATGTTAAAATCTAAGCTCAGCTCGGCAGTGACCTAAAATACATAAATATAATTTTACTTACAGAAAAAAATGAAATGGAGACTCCTTGGACGCTCTATTAGTGCAATTATTGCCACAGCAAGTAATTTTGTCCAACAATTGCACAAATAATATCCAAAAAAGAATACACAAATGCTACAACTAATGGTCTAAGTTGAGAGACTGAAAATGGCGGAACAGTTTTCAGGCGAGGCCGAGAATCTAGCTCTGTGGTCACGTGGGTCTGATGCTCATTAATTATACAGAATTTTAGGCTTTTAATACACTTAAACAGAAGAGTGAGAAAAAAATTCAACCCCCTCAGAGCTGTCATGAGTGTAAACTAGATCATTTAAACAAAAAACATGTTTTGGTACCAGGCTGTAAACATGTTTATTTCTGCTGTGAAATTGGTATTTTTAACATGGGAGTCAATAAGGATTTGCTCGCTTCTGACACCAGCCCCTAGTGGATGAGGGTGGAACTGCAACTTTTGTCACTTTCGCGTTTACTTCAATTTTTTACCCGCATTGTGGGGTCTTAGTTTTAACGTTGCTAATCTGCAACGCCCACCTCCAGAGGGTTAACCCTGTAGACAAGCATGTTAAAGGTAAAGGCTATGAGACCACCTCCAAGGAGCTACATGTTCCTGTGACTTCAGCTGCACTTATTAGTCAGAAATTTAAAATCCATGGAACTGTAGCCGAGCTCCCTGGACGTGGCCGCAGGAAGAAATCAAAGAGACGGAAAATCTGGATGGTAACAAAAGAGCCCAGATAACCTTCTAAAGAGATCCAAGGCGATCTTCAGGTTAGGGAACATCAGCGTTGGATTGCACCATCCATTGTTGTTTCAGCCAAAGTGGACTACATAGGAGATGACCAAGGAGGACACCATTGTTGGTAAATTTTCTGTATTTTTATAGTGCCTTCTTAGAGTTCCACAAACCCCCCAAGGCACTTCACAACACAGTCTTTCACTCATTCACACGCTGGTGATGATAAGCTACACTGTAGCCACAGCTGTCCTGGGGCGCACTGATGGAAGTGAAACTGCCAAACACTGGTGCCACCGATCCCTCTAAGCACTACCAGCAGGCAAAGCGTCTTGCCCAAGGCAACAGAATGTGTTGCCCAAGGACACAGCAGCAGCCTTTTCTGGCAGGAGCTGGGATCGAACCTAAAGCCTTCTGATTACTGGACAACCAACTCTGCCTCCTGAGCTGCTGCTGTATGCCAAACTAAATGTTGACAAGCCACAAAGCTTCTGTCCTACAGACAGAAGAGACTATAGAGCTTTATGCGCATCAGCTCTATGTCCAGAGGTGGAAAAATGAAGCTTATCAAGAAAAGAACACTATCCCTACTATGAAGCATGGAGGTGGCTCTATTATGTTCAGGGGCTGCTTTGTTGCATATGGTGTCTGGAACCTGAACAGGGTACAATGAGATTTCAAGACTATGAAGGGATTTTAGAGAAACGTGCTGGCCGGTGTCCAAGAGCTTGGTCTCAGTTGCAGATCATGGGAAAATGACCCAAAACACTCAGCTAACAACACCAAAGAATGGCTGAGGGGAAAGCGTGTGACTATTCTAAAGCGGCCTGAAGCAGAGAAGCATGGCTGACTTTCATTGGTACAGTTTCATAGTATTTTTATATATTAATATTTTGTCAGATTTAAGTTATTTCTGTGACCGTTGACATCACAGACCTGGAGGGCTTCCATCCTTCTCCAGCACACCTGATCTAGATGAAGGAGTGATCATCAGGGGGTTGGAGGGACTCAGTCATTGGACTCAGCTGTTCTTTAAAACTTAAGCCCAGAATCTCTTAACCTTTCCACTTTCCTTACATCTGATGGAAGTGCTCCTACGGAAAACAGAATTCCAAACATCCTAAAATCATAAAGACCCAGCAGAACATTTTCATGATCTCCCATCATTTATTTTCTTCCTGGTTGCTTTCATGTTTTGTTTGTCAGCATCTCCATGTTAAACCGTCACCGTGTCCCACCGTGACCTCACACGTTGGATTAGAGCTGCAGTGGCGCCCCCTGCTGGTTGATTGTGTTTTAGATAAAAGTTACAAGCAGGTAAAAACTCACCGACTTGTTGGTTTCAGGAATTTGGAGAAAAACATAACAAGTTTAATAGAATTTAATGAAACATGAACTCAACACATTTAACACTAAATCTGTATGATCTCTAATAGCTTTTGTATTCATGGTCAAATTATACAACAGAAAAAAATCATAGTGCATAGCAAATATTTATTAATAATCAACAAAATGGGGAAATTAAAAACATTGCAGTGACGATCTGAAAGCTTGTATTTACAGTGCTCATTTATATTTGCTTTAACTCCTTCGTTCTTGTTTCAAACAGGAAAGAAACTGATTAATAGTTTTCATTTTCAGAGTAAAGTTTAGAGTTTAAAGGTAAATCCACATTTATTAACTGCAGGATTTGTCTAAAGTCTTAGCCCCGCCTCCGGGTCTCGGTGAGGTCATGAGGTTTTCGCGTTGACCAGGACGATCTGGATCTTCCTCCTCTTCATCTCTCTGGACATCTGGCACCAGGAACAGGGCACGCAGAAGGTGGAGTAGACGCAGTCCTTAGGAATTGTTCCCTACAAGATGGTACAGTTATGGTTCATTGATGGTAACGGCCTGTATTTGTTTAGAGCCCTCTTAGGGCTCTCCATCCCCCCAAGGCGCTTCACAACACAATCAATCATTCACCCATTCACACGCTGGTGGGGATGAGCTACGGTGTAGCCCCAGCTGCCCTGGGGCGGGGCCTGCCGTACACAGGCGCACCGGCCCTCCGACCACCACCAGCAGGCAAGGTGGGTTAAGTGTCTTGCCCAAGGACACAACAGCAGCATTCTGGTCAGACCCAGGATCGAACCTGCAACCTTCCGGGACAACATCTTTTATGTAACGTGTATAATGAGGTTTTCCAGGCACGTCCAATCGGGATGAGATCCATGGGAGACCCCAGACACACTGGACGGACTATGTCTATCGGCTGGCCAGGGAACGCCTTGGGGTTCCCCAGGAAGAGCTGGGGAGAGGGAAGTCTGGGTCTCCCTGCTCAAGCTGCTGCCCCCACGAACCGACCCCGGATAAGCGGAGGAAAATGAACAGATGGATGGATCTCTTGCTTTATTTTAAGTCGTTGTCGTTGTCTCACCTTGATGCCATAGCGGTGGCGCATGGCCACCCTCATGGACATGGTGATCGGTGCGATACAACCAAAACCAAAGATCTCCAACAAAGGGGTGCAGAGATGTTCCCCATAGTCTCTGGAGGTGATGCAGGCGAAGCAAGGGCAGCACCAGAACGCGAAGCAGCCTTCAGGAGAAACAGAAGGTTGGTTATGAGGACAGCCACAAAACAAAGACACACTGATGTCAAACACAGGAGAAGGCATGAGGAAGTCTGAATCCTCTCATCTCATCTGTCATCGCCCTGACTCACATTCCTACAAGTTCAAGTTCTGAGAACGTTTTAAAGACGTGAAGCTCCTGAACCCTGATCAAGAGTTTGTCTAAACACGCAAATGAAACATCAGAATGTTTCCACAGAAAGCCCCACCCCCTCCGGATCTCAGCGGCTTGGGCAGACATCACAACAGAAACCTCGTTGGACGTCCTCCGACTGAACTGGTTCTACTGATGTCTGATGGTTTTGGTTTCCGTTCAAATGTGAAGATTAGAGATTTTTTCACTTAATCAAGTTTTAAACCTTTTGTAAACAAACTATTTTCCTCAGTTTTGTTTTTTGGCCCAAATCCAAATGAGTCTTTGTCCACCTGTGGTGTCTGCTGTAGGACTGATGGTGTCCTCTCAGGTCCACCTCCAGGCTCCCACAGACTTCCCTGATCACTGGTTTCTGACTGTGGAGGACGGCTGGTCTCCACTTGTTTCATCTCCTACGTGAAACTTCTGTTTAAATAAATAAATAATAAATAAGTCACTCGTGACCACCAGACCGCCCGGACGAGGACATCTCAGGACTTATGATCCCATCGATAGTTTTTGCACAGCGACCGTCGGCCTTCCCTGGACGGTGCACAGGTTTCCACCGGCTCAACCTGAGCTGAAGTGTTTAGATTTCAATGACATTAAAATAATAAAAGATATTTTATTAATGCAATGTTTTCAACTAATAAAAGCAACAAAACATTCCCTAAAATGAGCTCAACAGCTCAGATTCTTACAGGATTTCACATCCTGACAGCAGTCGCAGATTCCCGTTCCCCATTCCTGGGAATTCTGGTAGTCCATGACAGGCTGCGGCTGAGCTACCACCATTCGGTTTGTCATGATGGCGTCTGAAAGCAGGTGAGACCACAGAAACAGCTTCAGATTACTGAACTAAACCATTAGAGTCAGCTCATTAAACACCATTTAGTTCATTCTGATTAAATTAGAACCAAAATCATTATTGTGTAAAAACTAAAAATAGAAAATAAAAATATTAGGATTAGGTCAAAATCAGGTGAAATGTAATAAAAGTTTCTGTTTGTGTGTTAAAAGTGTTATTTCAGAGTTTCACCCTCAAACACGGGTCTAAGTTTCCCTCAAAGGGCATCAAAACTATTTTACTGATGTCAAATCAAAATACAGGCGTGGACTTAGTCCCAAACATCTTCATCCTCCTGAGACCGGAGCGTCCTCTAAATCAGATCATGACTCTGACATGAAAACTTTAATCTACAGAATAAAAGCCTGTCTGATCTTACCACAATAAAAGCCTGTCTGATCTTACCACAATAAAAGCCTGTCTGATCTTACCACAATAAAAGCCTGTCTGAGCTTACCAGAATAAAAGCCTGTCTGAGCTTACCAGAATAAAAGCCTGTCTGAGCTTACCAGAATAAAAGCCTGTCTGAGCTTACCAGAATAAAAGCCTGTCTGAGCTTACCAGAATAAAAGCCTGTCTGAGCTTACCAGAATAAAAGCCTGTCTGAGCTTACCAGAATAAAAGCCTGTCTGAGCTTACCAGAATAAAAGCCTGTCTGAGCTTACCAGAATAAAAGCCTGTCTGAGCTTACCAGAATAAAAGCCTGTCTGAGCTTACCAGAATAAAAGCCTGTCTGAGCTTACCAGAATAAAAGCCTGTCTGAGCTTACCAGAATAAAAGCCTGTCTGAGCTTACCAGAATAAAAGCCTGTCTGAGCTTACCAGAATAAAAGCCTGTCTGAGCTTACCAGAATAAAAGCCTGTCTGAGCTTACCAGAATAAAAGCCTGTCTGAGCTTACCAGAATAAAAGCCTGTCTGAGCTTACCAGAATAAAAGCCTGTCTGAGCTTACCAGAATAAAAGCCTGTCTGAGCTTACCAGAATAAAAGCCTGTCTGAGCTTACCAGAATAAAAGCCTGTCTGAGCTTACCAGAATAAAAGCCTGTCTGAGCTTACCAGAATAAAAGCGTGTCTGAGTTTACCAGAATAAAAGCATGTCTGAGTTTACCAGAATAAAAGTGTCACGTCTTGTCCTGTCTCCCCGTTTGGTTCAGCCTGCGTCTCTGATTGCTCCCACCTGCCTCTCGTTTTCCAATCACCCAAGCTCCCAGCCCTCCTGTATTTAAACCCCTCCAGTTTTGTGTCTCTGGTTGCCTCAGTGTTTCCATGTCCTGTGTCCTGATATCATTAAAAACCTTTTACGTTTTCTACTTTGGCTGCCTGCCTGATTCTCCCCCAGCGTTTGGATCCTTACCTCCACTCCACTCACCAGCGCATCCTGACAGAATGAGGCAACCTGAGACACAGAACTGGAGGGATTTAAATACAGGAGGGCAGGAGCTTGGGTGATTGGGAAACGAGAGGCAGGTGGGAGCAATCAACAGAGACGCAGGCTGAACCAAACAGGGACCGCGGTCAAGCCAGCCGCATCTTATTCGCCGCGTAAATTTTCTTGCGCTTTTACACCGTCTTTACGGTACCGCATTTTTCAAAAATTCATTAAAAATCATCCAGAGTAGTTGATATCCAACAACTTTCAACACATCCTTCCTCTGGGACACCTACTGTACCTGTGTGCCACATTTAAGACAGATTTACTGTAGAAATCCTCAGATATTAAAGCAAACTTGTATTCAATGCAATACAGTCAATACAATTATGTCATTTTCAAAAATTCATTTAAAACGTGTCTGAGTTTACCAGAATAAAAGCCTGTCTGAGTCTACCAGAATAAAAGCCTGTCTGAGTCTACCAGAATAAAAGTGCGTCTGAGTTTACCAGAATAAAAGCCTGTCTGAGTCTACCAGAATAAAAGCCTGTCTGAGTCTACCAGAATAAAAGCCTGTCTGAGTTTACCAGAGTAAAAGCCTGTCTGAGTTTACCAGAATAAAAGCCTGTCTGAGTTTACCAGAATAAAAGCTGTCTGAGTCTACCAGAATAAAAGCGCATCTGCGTTTACCAGAATAAAAGCCTGTCTGAGTTTACCAGAATAAAAGCCTGTCTGAGTTTACCAGAATAAAAGCCTGTCTGAGTTTACCAGAATAAAAGCCTGTCTGAGTTTACCAGAATAAAAGCCTGTCTGAGTTTACCAGAATAAAAGCGTGTCTGAGTCTACCAGAATAAAAACGCGTCTGAGTCTACCAGAATAAAAGCACGTCTGAGTCTACCAGAATAAAAACGCGTCTGAGTTTACCAGAATAAAAGCCTGTCTGAGTTTACCAGAATAAAAGCCTGTCTGAGTTTACCAGAATAAAAGCCTGTCTGAGTCTACCAGAATAAAAGTGTGTCTGAGTCTACCAGAATAAAAGCACGTCTGAGTCTACCAGAATAAAAACGCGTCTGAGTCTACCAGGATAAAAGCGCATCTTAGTTTACCAGAATAAAAGCCTGTCTGAGTTTACCAGAGTAAAAGCCTGTCTGAGTTTACCAGAATAAAAGCCTGTCTGAGTTTACCAGAATAAAAGCCTGTCTGTGTTTACCAGAATAAAAGCGCATCTGAGTCTACCAGAATAAAAGCCTGTCTGAGTTTACCAGAATAAAAGCCTGCCTGAGTTTACCAGAATAAAAGCCTGTCTGAGTTTACCAGAATAAAAGCCTGTCTGAGTTTACCAGAATAAAAGCCTGTCTGAGTTTACCACAATAAAAGCCTGTCTGAGTTTACCACAATAAAAGCCTGTCTGAGTCTACCAGAATAAAAGACGTTTCACATTAGAAGAAGTCTCACCTTCAGTGCTCTGGTCTGATCTCGGCTGATCTCAGAACTGTCAGCTGTTCCATTCAGGCTCATCAGAAATACCCCCCAGAACCAGCTGGTCGGACCGGGTCGGCCACATCGGCTCGCTGTTATTGGTTCAGCTCCAGCAGGAGGGTTGGGCCCGGCCTGGGATGAAGCTGCTCCGCTTCATCAAACTAAAATGGACTTAAATATTTTAGGTTTTACTGGATAAACCAAGAACAAAAACCCGTTTCTTTACTTTCTGGTTGTTCATCAACAAGAACGACAACTTTGTGACCTGAAACCTTCTCTGATGTGTGGCTTTTCCAGGAATTCTCCTTTTTCACAAAGTCCAAACCAACCCGTATATATGTCGATGAGACCAACAGGGATTCCTTTCTGTTCACATTCAACATTTAAGCTGTTTCTATAAAGGTCAAAGGTCACTGCTAATGACAGAAGTCAAGTAGAAAAGTCCATGTTTGGTTCAGTGGGGACAGAAAACATGGTGTTGTTCTGCCTCCTGCTGAAGTAACCAGCAGAAAACACGAGGCATTATGGGTAATGTAGGATGACTTCATGTTTAAGATCACATTTATAACTTTTCCTCAAAACTTTCACCTCAGATTTTTACTAAAACCTGAAAACAATATTTAAGCTGTGATTTTAGAGGCTGGGGGCTGTCTGAGAAGTCCTCCCAGGGTGGTCTGGAAAGGTCATGGTTGCCAGTAGAGTCCCAGTTAAATGCGCCCATTCCCAGTGTCATTCCCGGTGGAACCAGAGGGAGTTTTCCTGGCTCAAGTTTGTAGGTCACGGTTGGGACCGTCTCCTGGACCCGCCCGTCCCTCTGGAGGGTGAGATGTTTAGGTCTGAAGAGAACGAGGTCATGTTTGGTTCTTCGACCAGCTGAGCCAGAAGGAACAGATCCTAATCTACTGGTCGTTCTTCATCCCAGTCCTCACCAACACTCATGACCTTTGGGTTACAGCCGAAAGAACAAGATCACGAAGGTAAGGAATGCTGGAAGCTGCAGAAACATTCGCTGCTTTTGTCCTCCGAGGAGCAGCTGCTGCTGAATGGGACGACTAGAAACACAAAAGATAAAAACGCCTTTTGTTCTTTTGTCTCTTCAGTAATCTTCAAGCATCTTTGTTACCTCAGGCCTCGCCGCACCTGTTCCTCCTCTACCTGTTCTACCACTGCTGTCGTCGCCAGGTGTTCCTGCCAGCGTTCATTCATCTGAACATGTCCAGGTTCAAAGTGCTGCTCTGAACCAGACCTCTGAGAATTACCAGCATCAGCCACAAAACTCTGACCTGTAAGCATCACGAAGCAACTCCACCTCCGCTCTGTTTTCCCAGATTCCTTCTTTTACCTACTTAAGGAAACTACCAGTAAAATCCTGTTTTACACCACAGGATGACGGTTCTTCAGCAGATGTGGGGGGTATTTCTGATGAGCCTGAATGGAACAGCTGACAGTTCTGAGATCAGCCGAGATCAGACCAGAGCACTTAGAACCATCAGAAGGATCACTGGTAATTCTGGGCTGTTCAGACGTTTCTGAAGCCGGGGTCAAACTCCAGACCCTCTCCTTTGTTCTTGACTGGGTGAATAAAGAACCGCTTCCACGGCAGTTCACTCATGAGAAGCTTCAGAACGAGCTGCAAACCTCCGGGAACAGTGGAGAACTCTAACAGCACGCACAGGAACCTCTGAAAGAACAGAGAACCACTGCTGGAAGGACTCTGGGTCGGCAGGTCCAACGGATGAAGGCCGAGTCACGCCAGTAAGGAGCAGAAAGCGCCCGTCCCACATTCCTGCTCTGCACCTGAAAGCCTCACGGAGAACCTGCTCATCAGCATGCGTCACTCCCTAGAACCAGACCTGCTGCGCCGCCACATCAGTTCAATGTCAGTCGTGTTCAATTATTATTCTGTTTTATTCTGTGGATCCTGAAGAATGGCATTCTTCTGGAGATGAACGATTGATCTATTTATATATTTATTTATTTGGACATTTATTTAAAGAGGAGGAACCTCATGAGATGCTAGACCAAACTAGCATTGGAATTTCCATATCTGGGAGGTTTATCTCCAGGTGAAAGGTTGTTAAGTATCTCACAAATCACTGGGCAGGATGTCATGAGACAGTACATCAGATCAAGATGGCTGCTGCAGCGAACCCGAAAAAACATTCAAACTTGATCAGTTTTACAGATTTAGAGCTGAAACGTTCTCTTTTGTGTTTTTTTTTATCCTAAATGACTTGAAGGAGACGTGTTGTACAAGACTCACCGTTTTCATCCTTTGTGTGGGTGTCTGCTGCCTCTGGAAACTCTCCAGAGGTTTCAGGAGTACGGGCCTAAAATGTCTGTTTGTGACATCACAAAGGAGGAAAGCAGAATAGAAACACTGTTCACATGCAGGACAGAGCTGCTGCTGCTGCTTCAAGCTCCTCCCAGATACCTGAGCTTCTCGGCTTATAGCAGCCTGAGCGAGGGAGGGGTGGGCATGGCCAGCAACAGCAGAACGAGAGGCAGAAAGTGAAATAAAAAAATCAGCCATAACAGACCACAATAGAAAATCATATAATGGACTGGGACAGCACCACCCATTCATTTTCGGCTGCTTATCCGGAGTCGGGTCGCGGAGGCAGCTGCCTAAGCAGGGAGGCCCAAACTTCCCTCTTCCGAGCCACTTGGACCAGCTCCTTCGGGGGAATCCCAAGGCGTTCCCTGACCAGCCGTGAGACATAGTCCCTCCATTGTGTCCTGGGTCTCCCTTTAGGCCTCCTCCTGGTTGGACACCACCTGGTTCCTCTCAATGTGGAGGAGCAGCAGGTCTACTCTGAGCCCCTCCTGGATGACCGAGTTTCTTACCCTATCTCTAAAGGAGAGCCCGGCCCCCCTGCAGAGAAAACTCATATCAGCCGCTTGTATCCGCGATCTCGTTCTTTCGGTCACTACCCAAAGCTCATGACCATAGGTGAGGGTAGGAACGTAGATCGACCGGTAAATCGAGAGCTTCGCCGTCCGGCTCAGCTCTCTCTTCACCACGACAGACCGGTACAACGCCCGCATCACTGCAGATGCAGCACCAATCCTCCTATCGATCGCACGCTCCAGTTTTCTCTCACTCATGAACAAGACCCTGAGATACTTAAACTCCTCCACTTGGGGCAGGACCTCATCCCTGACCCGGAGAAGGCATTCTACCCTTTTCCGACTCAGGACCATGGTCTCAGATTTAGAGGAGCTGATTCTCATCCCAGCTGCTTCAATTAGAATCAGCTCCTCTAAATCCGAGATGGTGGTCTTGGGACAGCACACGGATCACAAACATAGAAATACAAGAAGAAGACGATCTTTTTTACAGCACCTCACGAGGCGCTTCACAAATAATAATAATAATAATAATGTAAGTATAGAAAGATTTCAAAAATGATTAAATTATGTTTAAAAGGAGAAGAGAGAAAATGAACAGGAAAGAGAAAATCAGTGGATTCTGGGAAAGGCGGAATAAGAGCAGAACAAGGAGAGGGTGGTGGTGAAGGTCCCACAAAAGCCTGAACAGGTGAGTTTAAAGGAGACCACTGAGTC